ATAAACTCTAGAGAAAGCAACTTGTTGATTACAGCAGTATATGTACAGAAGGTGCAATACAACTTCTTGTACTTTTGCTCTTCCCCACATTATGTTGTAGCTCCTCAACATTCACATAATCAACAATCATTTATGACCTTAAAATCTGTTCAGTCACTAGGATAAAAATTACAATATATTGCAATGAGCTCACCTTAGGCTCACACTACTGCTCTGCACATTCCATTTTCTTATTAAATGCAGCTCAATAAATGTTTTGACTGGACAATGATTTTCACGTCACCATCATTTAACAGGAATCCCGAGAGACTTGCATATTTACTGGATAGAACTTGTAGTTCATTAACAAACCAGTACCTGCTACACTTGACAAAAATATTTTAACAGAGAAGACTATTATTATGGATTTCATTAACAAAATTGCTAGCACTCAGTTCTGCAAGAATATGACTATAGCTTATCAAGTGAGCATCTCCATTTCATCAGCTGGGCCCCTGCTTTCCTCCACCCGAAAGAGCTTCCAAATGCTAACTATAACTGAAATGTGCAAGGTTTTTATTCTTTTGAAATACAACAGCTATTTCAGTCTCTAATACTATTGCGTGGTTCTGAGGTATGTGATATAAGAGTCATTGAAAAGGAAAGATGAGCTCCAGCCAAAAACAAAGACTGAGCACTGGAATGTTAACAGCAAAATCAAAGGTGTCTAGCAATTAAAATTATAATTAAACAGTATATTATAAGTGGAGGTGCTTCCAAAGAAAGCTTTGTGATTTTGATTAAGTAGCAACAGTGTACAATTTAGGAGACAGCAGAAAAATGGACTACTTTCCTTGATTTAAGAGCAGCTGACAAGCATATCTCTTCAATCCAGACAGACATAATTTGCCTAAAATGAGTGGCTGTAGCTACTACAAAATAGGATTAGCTTAGTACTATGTGTTCATATACTACTTTACTAAGAAAGCCTATGTATATTTGTTTTGATGTAAGCTCCAATGAGTTCAGAAAGGTTATATCCCCAAGTGTATTCAGCATTGTTATTTCATAGGAGGGAGTCATACAAAACTATGACGCTCCTTATGAAGCTGCTATGAGCCAGTGTGGTGCAGTGGTTAAGAGTGGCATACTCTAATCTGAAGAACTGTGTTTGATTCCCTACTCCTCCACATGAAGCCAGCTGGGTGACCTTGGGTCAGTCACAGTTCTCTCAGAGCTCTCTCAGCCCCATCAACCTCACAGGATGTCTGTTGTGGGGAGAGGAAGAAAAGGCAATTGTAAGCCACTCGGAGACTCCTTCTTGTAGTGAAAAGTGGGGTATAAAAATCAACTATTTATTACTATTATTATTATTATTAGCCATAGGTCCATCTACCCCAGAGGTGTCAAACTCATTTGTTATGAGGGCCGAATCTGACATAAATGTCACTTTCTCGGTCCAGGCCATGCGTGCGGTAAAATGTAACACAAGGTACCAGACCAGAGATATAAACTTTATAAAAGTTATTTCAGATGCCGAATAGCAATAGTTCCAGAGTTTTGACTGAATGACAATAACAAGCTTGATTGGATTAGGTGTGATACGCAGAGGGGTAGTAGGCGTGGAGATACCAGCATTGGTAATGAGACAGGAAACCAATGTCTCAGTTCCATCCAGGAGGATGCAAAGAATAAATGAACATAAGTCTGAGAGAGGGGTCTCCTCCAAGTGAAATAATGTGTTGATTTCAGACTGGGCAACTTCAGTGCTAGAGCATCAAAAGCAAAGACGGAGTGAAGAAAGGAAGCCAGAGAGGGAGACATGTTGAACTGGAACATATGGAACCATAAATGTATTTTTAAATACTTAGCCATCTACTTGTAGTAATTAAAAATGGAATTCAATCCAAGTGTTCTAATTCCTAATCAGGTTCAGATAGGCTTTGAGAAATCTAAATCTAAAAAAACCCTTTTCAGAATAAGCCAAAATAATTTCCTTTTGATTCTCCTTTCCCCTTATCCCAATATGCCCCTTCCTTTTAGCGTGTGTATGCGTGTGTGTGAGAGAGAGAGCGCGCAAAGCAGGGCAATCTCAATGTAAATTATGCTTGGCAGAAGAATCCATCCATCCTCCCCTCCCTCCCTCTGAAGAAGAATAAGAATGAAAGCTTATACCGGAAATAAAACTTTGCCGGTCTTAAAGGAGCCATGGGAGTCAGGCTTTGATCTTTCACCTGCACAAGCACTCGCTTTTGATTTTACTTTCCCTCCCTCTCTGTCCCAGAGGAGGAGAGCTCAGCCAATGGAGGAAAGGGAGACTTTGTTTGGGCTGGCTCCTGCGCAAAGCAGGAACCAGGAAGAGGGAGCTGGGCAAAAGTGAACTGCTATGACATGGCAGCAGCCACCTCAGAGAAGGAAGCAACAGAGAGCCAGTTGCTCACAGGCCGTACCTGACCCATAGGCTGTATGTTTAACACCCCTGATCTACCCAGTTTTATCCACTGACTGGCAGCAGGGGTTGAACACGGGATCTTCTGCATAAAAAACATGTTCCCTATTAATCATGTAGCTCTTCTCCCAACTCAAAATCCACTTAAATCTGTGAGATAAATATACATGTACAAGATTAGACTGATTGCGGGAGAACAGCCCTCCTCAATAGCATGAGACTTCACAACACATATGAGCTTCGTTTATATCTGAAGTAATGATGTAGTCCATGCTCTGCTCACATCAAAGTATTCACACAGCTTTCATACAAGTGGATATGTTTAGCAGCAATAGTGGCAGGGCTATTTTTGGGCAGGAACGCACAGGAACGGAGTTCTGGCTGGCTCCTGAGTTGGCCACGCCCAGCAGGAACTCATTAGCATAATAGGTCACACCCAATAGCAGAAACTCATTAGGATTGGCTACATTAGGGGAGTGAGGCCTAACATACAAAGGAGTTCCTGCTACAAAAAAAGCCCTGGGTTTTGACAACAAGGTAAACAGAATTAGAAGGGAAAGATGGGTGTGGCTGGATGACCACACTTCTGGTAACATGGGGTGTGTGGCCTAATGTGCTAATGAGTGGTGCTGTCAGGGTGTGGCCTAATATGCTAATAGGTTTTGCTGTTGGGTGTGGCCTATTATGCTAATGAGTTCCTGCTGGGCTTTTTCTACAAAAAGAGATCTGACTAGTGGAATTCTATCCAAGGAGCAGACAAAGGAACAAAGCAGAAAGTTTGTTCCCATAGTTTGTTCATCTAATGATTAAGGCCCCAAAGAAGTGCTACATTCAATAGCAATTAAGTTTTCAGACAAAGCTTATCAACACACTTGTCTTGAAAATATTTTGAACTGTGTTAAAAGAAGATCATCAGCCTTTTCTCATTTGACACCCCCCCCCCCATCAACTTGGCCGTATGGGTAGGGCGGGATATAAATCCCAAAATAAATAAATAAATAAATAAACTAACAAACTACAGGACCTGCATTGGCAACATTCAGTAAAGTACAGTATTTGAAAATTATTTTTATTTAGTAGTGAAAGACAATTATATCAGTGCCTCCAAACTGTAGTTTGACTTATTTTTGTATAGGTAAATAAGTGTTTTCTTTTAAATATAGAACCCAACTCCTCCTGTAAACCAAATACATGAAGAATGCCACACAGTGCCAACAAAGAAACTAATTTATGGGAAGGGGCTGTGGCTCAGGGAAAAACCTCTGCTTTATATTCAGAAGGTCCCAGGTTCAATCCCCAGCACCTCTAATTAAAAGGACCAGGTAGAAGGTGATGTGAAAGCCCTCTACCTGAAATCCCTGGACAGCTGCTGCCAGTCTGAGTAGACAATACTGACCTTACTGGACCAAGGGTCTGATTCTGTATAAGGCAGCTTCACACGTTCATTGCGTTCAACTTTATATGGAAACTGCACTGAGTTTTCACTCTCAAAGGCTTATATCTGAAAAACCTTGTTGGTCTCAAAGGTGCTACTGGACTCAAATCTCCCTGTTCTGCGGCAGACCAACACGGATACCGCCGAAACTATCTTCAGTGTAAAGAGCAGAGGTCATTTCGGGGGGAAACGCGGGGGAACGCAGTTCCCCCGGGTGAGGTGCAGGGGGCGGGGCACATGACGAAGCCCCTCCCCCTGCTTCCAGCCGCCCCGCTTCCAGCCCTCATTCAGCCAGGAGGAGGCAGAAGAGGGAGGGTAAGTTGTTTCCTCCCCGCCTCTCCCCACCCCTGCCTGCCTGGGGCCAGGGAGGGCCTTGGCGGGGCTTCCTCGCACTCCCGCTGGCCTTGCAGGTCCACTGCCGGGCCCCTGATGTCAGGGGGTGTGGCATATGCTAACGAGTTATGCTAATGAGTTCCCCTAGCTCTTTTTCTACGAAATGACCCCTGGTAAAGAGGAACAGAAATATGTTGAACAAATAAAAGTGAATTACCAGTCCTAAATTTGTGGGGCCAAACTAATCCCCCCCCCATACTAATTTTATATAGCATAAACTATATCTCAAATCATCACCCAGTTCATTTTTCTCGAAGTTGCTAGAATATGCATAAGACTGATTCACTATGCATTTCCTTCTACGGAGAGGGCAGATCCACATGCACAGAAGACGATCCCACAAAAATAAAAGGGAAAGAAGAAGCTACATGTGTCTGGATTAGGGTGAATGTATGAGTATTATCATACTAGCTTATTTTAGCACTTTCAGAAGATCTGTGACATGAGAAAATCGGTACCATTCTTACATGCAATGTTACATATTTAATATCCCTCACAGAAATTTTCACCTTGCCCTGACCTGGATAGCCCAGGCAAATGCAATCTTGTCAGATCTCGGAAGCTAAGCAGGGCCAACCCTGGCAAGTACTTGGAAGGGGACCTCCAAGGAATACCAAGGCTGGGATGCAAAGGCAGACAAGTAAGCCACCTCTCTTTGAAATGTCTTTCTTCCATGACTTCCAGGCATACACACAGAGAGACACGCAAAATACAAAAAAAAATCATCTCAAGTTTAAGAAGCTTAAACAGAACAAAACACAAAATGTAGGATACACTTCTCTCTTGCTGTCATTACCTTTGATTTTACTGTGAATGATTTGGGCTTTAAAAATTACAATATACAAGAATGATGCCATCCCATATTTTATACAAGCTAAATAATTTCGATATACAAAGCTTCAGGGGTTTATTACAAGAACAATGTACAACCAATGTTTATTTACAATGCAAAAAGTATATAAACCACAATTTAAAACAATCTGCTACTGGCAGCTGCTATATTTCAGGAGGTAGCTTTAATTAACAAATGCACTGAAGCCACATTTCCCATCATGTATTCTTGTATTCTATCAAATAATTTACAAAACAAGAAATTAATTTTATACACACTATGTACAATTTAAATTTTCGTAACTGTAATCTAGCTTTAAAAAAATTTTCCCAAAAAAAAGGTGCTAGAATTACTGTTATGGCAGTGGAACCGCTATTTAATATTTTGTTCAAGAAATATAAAATCTAGCTTAATCATGCATATATAACTTTACACTGTGAGTTTTCAAACTAAGGAGAGATGACAAAGATCGATGTAATTACCAAATGTCAGAGCCTCAAGTATCAGGTTCAAATGTTTTCCTCCTAATTTTCATAAAAGTTCATTTGCCCAGTCTGTAAAATGGCAGGAAAGCAGAAATTCTTGTTTTTCACACTTCTTTTAATATACCAGCCTTTTATTCCAAAGCAACTTTATATCCTCAGATCTATTCTATTACAAAGTTGTTGGTTGGCTCTGGTGTAAAATTTCCACTTGTGCTAGTGTTGTGCAAACAGAAATGAAAGAAAAAGACTGTTTAATATTGTATCCCCACTTGCATTTGCACTAGTGCAAGATCTTGCACAACCAATTTATGGGTACTATGATATTTAGGGAGGAAGGTACTATATGTTGCACAAGTTCTTGCACAAGTAAAACTGCACTAAGTCTATTTATGTTTCCGTGTAATATGTAAGTCATTGTGTAATATGGTTTCACTCTATTTCCTTTCTGCAGTGTCTTTCTACTTTGTCACAGCTGTTAACATACTGTATTTCACAAGGCAGATCTCTATGACTTTTATACTGTCTTTTGTTATCACAAACAAGCCTGCGCATATTTGAACATACAGAGCACAAAACAATACTCAGTGGCTGTCCAACATGTACAAGGAACTCAAGGGTTTGTGTGTGTGTGCGTGTGCGTGTGTGAAGGGGGAGAACAGAGTATGAGACTACTCATTTCTCTTCTGTATTAAAAAATGCTCTGTCAATGTAGAAGGGAACCTCCATTATGTGTTGTGCATATATTCTCCATCTTCTTTATGAGAATAGGTCAGATCCAATATGCAGAACCATATGCACAATGCTGCCCTTAGTGTACACAACAACCACAGAATCACACTTACGGTGAAGCTCTATAGGGATCTAGTAAGTGGAGTAATACACATTGGGCTACAGGCCAATGTAAGTTTGGTAAACTTGATTTTGATGTTTGCTCACAAAACCCCAAAGATTTCAAACAGTACTCATATGTTTCCTTCTATCATATCAGTCCATCTAGAATCTGTGCATGATGAAAGGCGATACAGCTTTTACTGAAATAAAAATTTCTATCCTAATCAAACTGAGCAACAGCTTGGAAAATGAAAAATATAGTATATTTTGCCTGTATTTGACTCACAGTTGTACATGGGAAGTATACTCCCTTCTTTTGGCCCTGCAGTAAAGTGTCCTGAGATTCAGTCAGAAATGCTATACAAAAGTTAGCAACAGGGTTTTTTTTTCCTTTTAACTATATAAAGTCACATTTAAAAATAACTCCTTAATAACAGCTGTTTCTTGTATTGTGCTTAAATGGAAAAGTGGACTGAATTCACTTCACAACCAAAGTAGTAAATTACAGTTGGATAACAATATGAAAACACAGCCTAAGAAGTAAAAAACTAGGTTATAAATTTTGGTTTTCCAATTATTTACAGTAAGAGCAATAGTTCTTGCTTTAAATGTATAGCTATTTACTGCCCACATCCCTTGTTTACTATGAACATCAAAAGATGATTGTAAAAGTGCTTCCAGGTAAAAGGACAGAACAGGCATGGTATATGAAGCGTCCTCCTCTTAAGCGTATGGTTCGCAATACAGCCTTTCAGTCTTTAATCCTTGGGATATTGTAGGCATAACGAACCAAAGGGAAGCCTCTGCTTTGATAGAAGCAAGCACGTCCACAGGCCTGTACTTGGTCTGAACTGTCTGATACAAAAGAATCTTCTTCATCTGCATAATCAGAATGGGCAGATTGAGTACCACAATCAGACCAATAGCCATCTGGCCTTTGGCAAGGCACTACTGTCAGAGCTGGACAACTGTGGGACTTTATTAAGTGCTTACATGGTACAGGCTTGGATAGAAGAAGTGATTCGCAACATTCACACATTGTAAGATTACCCTGCAGATGTGTGTACATGCCACAGTCATAGTAGAAATCCTGTGTCCCACAGCTGCCTTGTGTATTAACAGTGACTGTCCCAGTTCCATTCTTCTTGGTAATATGCCACCGCAGCAATTTCCAGTCTTCCTTGAATTTGGGGTTGAAGAAAACATACAAGACCGGATTCAAACAAGCAGGAAGTGGGAAAAATATCAGAGTGACAGACTTCATGATTTCAGGGCTTATAGAGATTGCAGTGATCAGTGGAGCGAATGAGAAAAATGCAACAGGGCAGAAAAAGATGCAGTTAGTGAAGATCAGCCAAGCGACATGTTTAATCATGCTGGCTTGTGAGTTCTCAGATAGGTCCTCCTTCTCCAAGGTGCAATAAAGTTTGGTATAGATAACAGCCATTAGCAGAAAGGCTAATGAGTTTAGGAGTACTAGGGTAACTGTGAAGCCCAAAGAGGGTGTTTCTCCAGTGGGAAAAGGCAGGCAGAGTGGTGATGCGGAGTATTCCCCTTTATGGAACAGTGGCAAACATCCTGCTATCAATGCACACAGGACAGCAAAAACGGCAGTGATTTGAAACTTTTTTGGGTGATTACTTTTACCCTTCTTCATTATTTCCTGAGAAGACAAGCTCCATTCAATGGCAGCTAACATGAGGAAAAAAATGGCACTTTCCGAAGAGAAGATAGCCAAAAACCCAGCAATTTTGCAGCCACTGCCAGTCTCCCACCAAATGCCAAATTCAGCAAACCGTCCCCAGGAGACTGCATCCAGGAAAGTCAATATACCAGTATAGATCCCCATAAGTAAGTTTGACATTGAAATCAAGCCTATGAATAGTTTGGAAGAAGGCAGAGAAACGCAAGAAGCAAATATAGTTAACATGACAAGGATGTTGAAAGACAAGGCGACCAAAAAAATAAACCAGACTGTAAGGCGAATCATCCAGCTCCCTAGTAAATATTCACAAGGCTTGAAAGCACCTAGTATAAAAGAAAAAGAAACATGAGTAATGCAGTAAGTGACATAGGACTGTTTATCTAAATATATTTTAGAAGTACTGCATTTTCTGAAAACAGCACTACAGAGCTCTACTACACAAGGTCAGGTAAATGTAAGATCTGCAGCTAGAGAAATTTACTGCTTATATACCAAGTGATAAATACCCCAATGATGGCCCACTTATATAAACACAAGTAAAATAAATCAGGCTGTAATAACTCTTCTGCTAGTCAGCTGATTGCCCCAGTTATAGCATAGAAGCACAAGGAAATATATGTACATCCAACCTAAAGGATCTATTTTTTCTTTTTCTTTTGATGATGGGTATTATAAAAAGGAAATGCTTACTTGTTTTTAGTCTTTTCATTAAGACTATTTTAAAACTAGGTTATTTTTAAATTGGGCTCTGCATACTTCCAATTGTCTTCTGTGTGTTTCATTAATCAAACCTGGATAGGTTGCAGCCCAGAGAACAGGGTCCATAAAAAGCCCTGATCCATGGTTGTTACAGAGGTACATTCTGCATTTGTATCCTAATTTCTGACCAGGGCTTTCAAACCAATTCATTGAGTTACCAGGAAAAAACTAATTCATCTGCTCTGTCTGGCAATGGTCTGCTTCTTGGAGGTCAAAAAGACAATTTATCAATAAGGAATGTTATTAAGCCATACTGGATCAGACCAGTCCGTCTAATCCAGCATGGTATGTCACACAGTGACCAACCAGATTCCTTGTAGAACCAATGAACATAACACGGAAGTTAAGACCTTCCCTGACCTTGCCTCCTAGCATTGATATTCTAAGGGCTAGTGCTTCTAGATGTGGAACCTTTTAGTCACTATGGCCAGGAACCACTGTCAGACAATTGATCGATCAAGGTCAGTAATGTCTGTTCTGACTGACACTGGATCTCCATGGTCTCGGGTGGAGGTCTTTAACATCACCAACTACCTATATCTCTTAATTGGAGATGCCAGGTATTGAGGCTTTCTGCATCCAAAGCAAATGTTCTACCACTGAGCCCCCCCACCCCCGATTTTACAGGGCCACATGAATTCTATTACTACTTAGGAAAAAAGTATTTGAAAATCAGCATCATCTACAAGTTGTTTAAACGAAGGAAAGAACTGTTGGTTAAAAATAAATAAGACCAGTATTTCCAAGATGCAACAGAAGATTCAATGGCTCCACTTCTAACATTGTTAACACCTCAGTTCCATGGGTTGAGCAAATGAACATGGAGAATAAATATGCCATGAGTCAGTGCACAGAGAGGAGGTAGGACAGATGTTCAAGATCAGCTGAAGATAGGAAAGGCTAGTGACAAAACAAGGCAGGTGACAAGCTTGAAAAATACAACTGATTGTGTCCTGAGCCCGAATGCAGAGGTCATTTCGGGGGGGATCGCGGGGGATTGCAGTTCCCCCGGGTGAGGTATGGGGGGCGGGGCACATGACGAAGCCCCGCCCCCTGCTTCCGGCCCTCATTCAGCCAGGAGGAGGCCGGAGAAGAGGGAGGGTAAGTTGCTTCCTCCCTGCCTCTCCCCACCCCTGCCTGCCTGGGGCCAGGGAGGGCCTTCGCGGGGCTTCCTTGCACTCCCGCTGGCCTTGCACCGCCGGGCCCCTCATGGGGCTCGGCAGTGGAGCTGCAAGGCCGGCAGCAGCGGCCGGAACCGTTGGGGGCGGGGTGTGTGGCCTTATGACACACTTCCGGTGATGTCAGTGGGTGTGGCATATGCTAATGAGTTATGCTAATGAGTTCCCTTAGCTCTTTTTCTACGAAATGACCCCTGCCCGAATGATATTGTTACCATGGCCAACCTCAGTTTCCAGAGTACCACTACAATGTCAAGTCTAATATAGCCAAATTCAGTGGGGCAACTTTAGTTCTATTACCATGTATAGTGTTCCTTGATCCACATGTCATTTCAAGTAGGGAATCAGGAGACTATTTTCCTCTCATGTTTTTATAACACTAAAGGTTTCACATCTCTCTCAGAGATGGGGAAGAAAGGATGAGCAGTACTGGCTCATATAACCCTCCATATCACAGAAACTGCCTTGCACCTGCCCCCAAAGACAGGCTGGGTGTAGCCCTCATCTGGAATTCACAAAGACAGCAGGAACTGGGGTGCCCAAACATGATAGTGATGTAAAAAAACAAACAAACACAGGGCTTGAGGAAGGAAACATGTAAGCAGCCGCTAACACAGTTCAAGGTACAATAGCTGGCTCATACACAATTTTTTTTCCCTTGCAGGCAGCTGTGGGTGACACAGAAGCTTGCACTAAATGACGGGCCTGCTGCAGGGATGGGAAGACTAAGGAAAAACAACTAACGTGATGATGCCAACAGGAAGAAAGAAAGGGAGAGCCAGCTAGGACAGCTGTAAGCACTTTATGGGTGGAGTGACTCCCATATATCTTTAAACAATACTAACCTTACAAGCAGCATTAGTACTTTTAAACCCGACATTTTAATAAACTCTCTTGTAATAGCCTGTAGGAACTGTCACAGTATACTCACTTCAAACCCCACACCCCAGTCCTGTTTTTGCATTACTGCATCATAACTCGTGAAAGCTTCATCAGATTTGTGGATTCTGTTCACTATCCAATCAACACTTACAACACAAAACAAAGTATGTTGCTAAAGCTTAAATTCATGGGCCCCTTTACCTGTTGTAGGGGTACAGTGTATTATTGTCTGACCAAGTTCTTCATTATCTTCATTGATTAGGTCATCTGCTGCACCTAAATAAAAGTGGCAGAAGATCAGGCCTGGAGAAACACTAAAATATTAAACTATTTCATGGATTATGTCTTACCTATTTAAAAAATAGAGTCTAGTACATGGCCATTTAGCTTCAGATTAAACTATCTCACGAGTCTATTCTACTTGGGAGTTCAAGATAAAACCTTGCAGAGTCCTTTTAAACAGCACTTCTTATTCTCTGTGCCTTGGATCAGAAATCATGCAAAGCTACGGTGTAATTAAATTAATAATGGTAGCTGATTGTTAGTAGAAAGGAATGCATTCAAACAATGGAAAGATAGGTCTCAGTGGGGTAGACACATTAGACTATTTTAGCAAAACAAAAATCCAATGGCACCTGAAAGATGAACACTTATTCCAGTATGAGCTTTCATGAGACCGTTTCTTTAGACACAAAAGAAGAAAAGGAACCCTTTATCTCAGTTTTACAGAACACTGCAAAAGGAGGGGGGGAGTGGCTCAAGTGGTTAAGACGCTGAACTGCAGGCTGGAAGGTCAGTAGTTCAGCAGTTCGAGACCCGAGTGCCGCAAGATGGAGTGAGCTCCCATCTCTGATCCCAGCTCCTGCCAACCTAGCAGTTTGAAAACAAGAAACAGCAAGTAGATAAATAGGTACCGGTTCAGTGAGAAGGTTCTGTGCGCCTTGGCGTCTAGTCATGCCGGCCACATGACCACAGAAACGTCTTTGGACAGCACTGGCTCTTCGGCTTGGAAATGGAGATGAGCACCGCATCCCTAGTTGGATTCGACTGGCTTTCGAGCAAGGGAAACCTTTACCTTTACTTTACTAGAGACGCCTAGTAGAATAACTCAGGTAAGATTCTTTATGTGCGGACTTGAACCTTGGGTAGTTCAATGGGTGATGGGAGAGGTCAGAGGTTCTGACCTCTCTCACATGTGCCGAGGAAGTACAATAAAATAGGATAAACACACTAATTAAGAAAGTGGTAGTTTGAAGCATGAGACAATTGACCAATACCACTAAAGGGTTATATGGTACAAGAACCGTATATCACCACTACCACCCAGGCCTAACTTGCTGCCACAGAAGCAGAATAAGGTTGCTGATTTTGGGATACAACTTGGGAGCACTGTTCTGCCACCTTTGTGTGTTTGGGGGAGGGGGGAAGGCTGTAGTTTTACTGGGATGTTTTCTGATTTGGTGTGACGACAGTGTTAATGTTCGATGCCACAGGGCTTGACTGGGAAAGGGGGTGCGGCTCTATGGCCTTACAGTAATGCTGGCCAATTGAAAGTTAAGTTGATAACATGGTAAAAATTTCCTTTGCCATGCAAGCTGAGAACACAGCAAGAACTTTACAGGCAAGATGAAGCTCTGAAACTAGGATTTCTGAAGGCAAACTTGGACTGAGCAATCCAAAGCCTACTTTCACAAATTAACCACGGGTAGAATAAGCATCCTTTTGCATTATTTCTGAAAAGAGTCAGTGAGTAATGAATCTGCGGAAAGATTCAAAATACGTTGTATGGAGTCATGTAAAAGATTTCCCCCACAATAAGTGAATACAACACATGAAAAGCAGCCATGTTCCCCAATTCCAGGTATGCCTGGAGGAAGCTTACATTTGTGTAAAAGGCTGTGTGTGTCTTCTCAGAACACTTTTTTTTTTCAGTTAAGCACTCACCACGGTCATGAGCAACTGACAGGCTTTGATCTTGGTGGTTGGAATCTTCAGTATTAAAGTTTAAATAAGAATCACAGCCCCAGAATGCGCAGCACTGGTAGGCGTATGGAACAGATAGCGATCTGAAAATTCAAAGAAACAGCAGGAGGTCATAACTGACAGCTTTTCTGAATTTTTTTTAAAGCAGCATTGTCTCTGAAAGTTAGAACTTGCTTTTCCTTATGAAAGTCCTTCTAATATTCTAATAAAAGAATTTAGCTATGAGATTTCCTAAAGAATAGGTTTTAATCCAGCAAGAGAGCTTCTGGTGTCCAAATGACTACATTGTGAACTTGGTTTTTATGTAAGTGCGCGGACTCTAATCTGGGAGAACCAGGTTTGATTCCCCACTCCTCCACTTGCATCTGATGGATGTCCTTGGGCAAGCCGTAGTTCTGTCAGAGGTGTTCTTGAAAAAGAGCAGTTTCTGTCAGAGCTCTCTCAGCCCCACCCACCTCACAGGGTGTCTGTTATGGGGAGGGGAAGGGAAAGGAGTTTGTAAGCCGCTCTGAGACTCCAAGTGAAGGGCGGGGTATAAATTCAATCTCCTCTCCTCCTCCTCTTCTTTGGTTACAGTCCAAGTGTGTGTTAAAGCACTGCCATCTTAAGGCAAAAAAGATGTTACAAGCAATCATGTTATTACCTGTGTGCACAAAAATGAAAATTCATCAAGTTGCCTGGAGAGTAGCACTGTTGCGCAAGTGAATTCCCATGCAAGTACTAAGTACACACCTGTCATTCTCATTGTTTGGTTTCTTATATGAAATCTCCCATGCTGCAAGGCTGGATTTCCTGCTCTGCACACTTCCCTTAACTGACTCCAGGACATGCCAGAAAGTCTAATTCACCCAAAAGAAGGGGCCAAACACATTTTTATTCTATTTATATCCACCACATGGCCATAAAAAGGCCTGCAGGGTGCATTACAGCTATAAAAGTTTCTCTATGCTGTGCTGATGTGTGTGTGTATAAAAATAAATAAAAATTAATTGGGGGGGTTGCTTAGTTGAAAAGTTTATGGCTATTTGCCATTGTTTCAGGTTGTAAAACAACCATAAACAACTAAGTAAACATACCATAATTAAAACTATGAACCACCACAATGCAGAAAAATTAGATATTAGGTCAGCTTAACCCAGAATCGTCCACATTCTCCAAATGCCTGTGGGAATAAAAGTCTTGACTAATTTCTGTAAAGTAATAATGGAGAGGGCATGATGGGCTCCACGAATACAAAGAAAGAGCAACTTCTCAGCGTTGTCAGCCTTAGCCAATGAGAGAACTCTGAGTAAGACTTCTCCCCAAATCTCAGTGTACAGGAGGCTACTACACGAATCGCTTGCCACAGAACATCACCAGAAGGCATACTTCTATTTGGTAAATATGATATTTTTATAACATAACATCCAAATCTTTGTGCTTGAAGTCAAAAGTCTTTGGTGAACATATCTCAAGGGTAAATATTTACAGTCACTTTCCTTCTGGAATGAGGACAAGGAGAAGGAGAGATGCAAACAGGCATCAGAAACAATTTTAAATAGGGGGAAAAGCTGAAGAGGTTTTTTTAAAAAAGTTATTTCTTAAAGCAATGATGAACAATGGTTTTTGTAAGTCTGAGAGGTCAAAGTACTACTGATGTCCAAAACTGAGATACTTTCTCCAGTCTACCTGTTCTCTAAATATTCTTTCCCACTTCTACAAACCTATAACATAGGCACTTAAGTGGATCAGAAACTGTATACAGATATACTCAATATTCTTATTCAAAAGCTGCTGTACTGAAACTACAGTATGCTTGTGTTTTGCATAAAACTTAAAAAAAAAAATTCTTGGGCTTGGATGCTCCCCCCCCCCAAAGAGATATAACTAATTCCTAGTTCATGAGACCTTTGACCCAACTTAATTAATGGAGACCCTCAGCTGATTGTTCTGGGTGATTTCAGCATTCAAGCTGACTACTCCTCTCCAGAGCCAGCCTAGATTCTACAGCCCTTTTGACTGCCTTGGCCCTCTCTCAAATCATGGCAGGTTCAGCACATGAAAAAGGCTATAACTTAGACCTGATCTTTTGTTCTGAGCCTCAGAAAGTCTTATTTCAGGGTTACAGCTTCGGCCTGAACCATGGCTTGACCACTTACTGACCACACAGGTAACTATGACACCAACACTCCACAAAGGGAGGTTCATGGACCCTTCTGGATTCCAAAATGCACTGGGAGGCTGCAGTGGAAGCTTGGAACACAAAGCTTCTCAATGTCACTGACAAGGTTGTTCCTTGTTGACCTCTACCACCCTTAGGGAGAAAACCAGCCCCATGGGTCACCGTGGACCTGGATGACCAAAAGAAGGCTGGAAGACATCTAAAAAGATGATGACAGAAAACTTGCACTGAATCCAGGTCCGTAGCCATGGGGGGGGGGTATTTGGGGGAAATGCCCCCAACAGATGAGTGCCGCCCCCGCGAACAAAAAAATAAATAAAAAATAAGCAAACTGCAAGATGCACGTGGGGTTTCCAAAATGAACCCAGGCACAGTCAGGGAAGCTTCAGTCTCATTTTCTTTTTTCCAAGCCAAAAAATAAATAGGTTTTTAAAAATGCAAATAAAATAAAATAGCAATAAAATAAAATAAAACTGCAAAATGCAAAGGAGACAGAATTGGAGATTCCCCCCTACCCCCCGCTTACACAGAAAAGCAGCCCAGAATCAAGTCTCTACAATTGAAGGGACTAGAGAACTAGAGGAGGACTAGAGGTCACAGTGGAGCTGGAGCTGCTTCTTCTGTCCCCGGGGATTTCCCCATGCCCCACCAAACAAAATTTTCTGGCTACGTCCCGACTGAATCTAACAGAGTGCATTACAGGGCCGCAGTGATACTGGTATAGAAGTGTTATTTCTCTGCAACCACTGCATCAGCTACCTCACAACCATCCCAACTATTTAAGGTGTCCCATCAACTGCTGACTCCTAAATCTGAACCTTTACTGCCTTTTGAACTGACAATTAGCTGTAACATCTTTGCAAGGTTCTTTGCCAATAAAATAACACAAATAAACTCTGACCTGGATGTCACTGATAAGCTAGGGCTGTCAGATAAAATGCCTAGTACATCATCTTGTCTGATTATGGACCAATTTGCCCTAGTTAGTGTGATGGATATTGACAGGATCCTGGGATTGGTGAATGTATACTGGCCCCTTGAGCAGCTGGCTGCTAAAATCATGCAAAACCACATAAAGGAACCCTTGATAGCTATCATAAATCAGTCACTCACCCAGGGCACTTTTCATAAAGCACTCAAACAGGCAAACATCCATCCACTACTCAAAAAAAGATGTTTCTAATTATCACCCAGTCTCTAATCTCCCATTTCTAGGCAAAGTGATTGAGAAAGCAGTAGAAAGCACTCGAAAGCAGACCAACTCTGGGGCTTCCTGGATAATTCACAGGCTCTAGCCCCTTTCCAGTCTGGGTTCAGGCTGGACTACAGGACAGAGATGACTCTAATAATTTTAGCTGACGACCTCTGCCTGGCAAATGTCATGTTTCTCTGTTGCTCCTCCTGATCTGTCAGCAGCCTTTGACACAGTAGATCTGAGGCATTAGGATGAAGAAGTAGGTATCAGGGGATGTATGTTGGACAGGTTTAAATCACTCCTCAAACCGCCGCAACTAGATTGGGGGCTAGGCAGAATATGCACGTCACTCTAATTCTGCAATCATCCATAATTCTGCAGCCCATCTATTACTAGGATCAGTGCAAAGTGTTGACTATCACAGACAAAGCCCTTCATGGCCTCAGGCCCTATGATTTGCAGAACCACCTCTGAAGAGAATGCATGAGTACAAGCAATTACCCTCTCTCTCCACCATGCCAACTTTGCTCGAATGGCCTCTCTGATGAGGTGAGGAAGGCTCTCCTGGCTTTTCGCAAGATATGCAGAACAGAATTATTCAAGAGAGCTTTTTTGCAAAGGTAACAGAACTGTACTCTAATAAAAGGGATGGAAAGATGCATTGGTAAAGGGATAAGGACTATGACCTACACCACTGTAAGTATGCCCCAGACAAGGTAATTTCTACATCACTTAAAATGTCATGTTAAAAGCTCATGGTTTCATTTCAGCTCTCTCTGAGATTTCTGTTTGTTTTCAGATTTCTGTAGTCCAAACCCTAGTATATTGCTCATTGGATGTATCATCCTGTTGATTGTACTTGATTTTCACCATGTATTCTGCCATGAGTGTCATCGAGAAATAATAATAATAACAAGAAGAAGGAGGAGGAGGAGGAGGAGGAAGGAAGGAAGGAAGAAGTAGTTTTGATGTCTGAATGCAGGGTCCTTACCAAACTGGGATCACTCCCTGTAACCAGGTTTCTTAACTATGGTTTAATCCTGGTTTAGAATCACGACTACTGGGTGGGGGGGGGGGGGGGAAACAGACCACTATTTGTTAAGGTGCCTATACCAAGACATCACAAGGGAGTTGGATTTCATATTATGTGGAACAGGCTCACAGCCTAAATTGGTGACATATTTTCAAGTACAAATACGAATACTTCTCACAGAAGGGTATAGCTTCAGCTCTTAAAGACGAGGACCAGAGTGTTGGCTAGACTGAATGGGCAGAATGTTATAAAAGTACAAGGCACAAGGGCAGGAATGGGCTTTTCAGCCCATAAATGCAGATTTCAATTTGAGCTTATCCTCTGTCCACTTAGCAAACCAAAAGCCATAACAGAAGCTGCACTACAGCCTCAGCGGAAAGGGTGTTCTAGTGATAGGTCTGGCAAAGATAGATTTCTTTGTCCCACAAGTAAATCCTAGAGTACTGCTTTAGCTGCCAGTGTCTTCAATAAGGCAGGTAAATTCTTAATTGAATTAACCTGCATTTGGGAAATTAAATTTATTCCACTTAAATGCGACTGTATATTTAAAGCATAGACACTCTGATTTAGTTAGTGACTCACCGAAGCTTCACAAAATCCTTTGCTGTCAGGGCTTCTCGCAGTTCTGTGTTGCCTACAAGTTTAAGCTGGTTTAACCCACTCAGGCCTTCAGTTGGAAACGAGGTCAACGCATTGAAACTTAAGTCTCTAAAAAGATTGGTGGGGGGAAAAACAAGTATAACAGAAATACCTGGGTGAGATTGCAGAATATTAAATACTTGAACATGCATATATGAAATGGAGATATAGACAGTCCATTTGTTGGCTGAATGGAATGCTCTGCTCTCCTGCAAGCAGCATTACACAATCAACTTCTTCACTGCTCATACGATCTGGACCACACCCTTCCTCCTAGGAGTTTAGGACAGCAAATGATGGATTATCCCATTTTATCCTCAAAACCATACTGTGAGATAATTTAGGTTTTAGAGACAAGTGAACTGTCCAAGACATTTCACTCAGTCTCATGGCTAAGCAGGGATTTGAAAGTGGGTAATCTCTACCCCCAATTCTATCCACTACATTACGCTATCGTCTAGATGTTCCTATTGCCAGCGGAGCTATATGACTTAGAGCCAGCCACTATCTTTCACGGGAAAATCTAGAAGACAGCTGTTTGCCATTCCATGCTTGCATGTTCCCAGGGACATGGCTACTGTCACCCAAATCTAATTGCTAGTGCCAGTCTGGCAAAGCATAACAGCCCAATGCAGTTGTTTAACTAACCAAAGCAGTCACTAAATGGTGTTTGTTTGTGTGTGTGTGTGTGTGTGTGTGTGTGTGTGTGTGTGTGTGTGTGTGGGGTAATACTTGAAAAACCAGACACAGAAGTATTCCCCATGTCTAAAGGTTGCTAAGACATTTAAGACTGCATATGATGATGGCTTGGAAAGTTCTATGAAAGCAGCTACAGAAAAAAAAACCACAATTCAAAACTTCCTGTCCCCTCATCTCCTAGTCCCACAAAAAGGTGGGAGATACAAAACTTTTTTGAAAAGGTGTGCATTCTCCTAATGCATGGACTGGAACAGTCAGCTCACTGTGTGGGGCCGGCTTGCCAACCTCCAGGTGGGACCTGGAGATATCCCACTATTACAACTGATCTCCAGATGACCTAGATCAGTTCCCCTGGAGGAAATGGATACTTTGGAGGGTGGACTCTATGGCATTGTACTCTGCTGAGGCCCCACTTGTCTCCAAACCCTACCCTCCCTAGGCTCCACCCCCCAAATCTCCAGGTATTTCCCAACCCAGAACTGGCAACCCTAGTGTGGGGTTACACCCATCTCTTTATCCTCTGCACATAATCTGGAAGTGAAGGTGGAGGAAAGAATGTCTTGTATCACATTGTTTTATTTTTTGGTGAGCATCCTTTCCCCACTAAAGTACAGCAAGCATGTAGCAGGAGTATGTTATTTTTGCTTTCTCTATATGCACACCAGGTGTTGATTAGAAATACTGAATTCAAGGAAACAAGAACAGAGACTTTGAGAGGGAAAATGCTACTACGAAAGAATTGGAAAACTTTTCAGTGCTAAGTGGCCTACTTACAGATTGGTAATAGCACCAAGCGAAGTAAACGCTGCTTCATAGATCCGGTGGATCAAATTTCTGCTGAGATCACTGCAATGTTAAGAAGTACCATTGTGTTAGTGATTTACATTGACACTTGTAAGTGACCATTGTTCGTAGCTCAGTTATTACATTATGATTCAGGTCACACTAAGCTTGTGACAAGCATGTAACTAACTTGCAGGTTAACTGTATTTACAATGTCATCATGACAATTTTCTCTCAACAATTCATGTCTGCTGGGAAAATTAGAGTGAATGCCTTAGCCATTTGGTGTGGGGCTCCAAGGCTCTACTTCCTTTCTTTTATGTAGGACAGGCACCTTGCCTGCACTGGGTTAGAACTGACTTTCTGAAACTTGCGTAAGGGTATAAACAACAGCTTCCAGCAGAATACAGACAACTGCAACTGAGAAAAGAATGTAAAGAGTTTGTTACACCTTGGTGCACATGCAGAGCAAGTGTCTAAATGGATTCTCCCCCACACTTTTGTGTTCAGTCACTTCTGCAAGACACATTAAATTAACACAAGGCTAAGGTTCCATCCAAATCTATGGAATCTCAGGTGAACATGGAGGTTCTCAAAGCATATGCTACTGGCTTAGCAGGACTACAGGTGAGTAGTTTTAGTGTGCTATGCTCACCGCATACTCTCTCATGCTGATACACATATAAGATGCCTGATTAGTTATACAAAATTCACTTCCTCAGATACTCTTTTAAGAAGGTGTAGCACATGTGGGTTTTGTAATATTTTTAAGTCACGACTTTCATGCCCTGACCAAGAGTATAATATGGTAGGTGCTGGCTCCCAACATGCACGCACTAACAGCTTACACATGTGCCAAAGCCTACTGACCCTTGTTGAAACATGAATGTTTAAAATCAACAATGTCTGTTATTTTGACTGATTATTGATTTTTATTTTTAAATGTTGTAAGCCACACTGAGCACTGCAGAAGAATGGCAGCCAAAACATAAAACCACCTTTAATATATACAAGACATTTGTGCACGTGCAGATTGCTGATATGCATACAACATGAATAGGGACTCCTCCCTCTGGTCAGTCAATGATGGCAGTCTTCTATCCTCTGCAAAGCCCATCAGAAAGCAGCAGTGGTTTTCTCAGTGCAACCAGCATTTAGATGTATTAGGTGTTGCACCTAGAATTTCTTAGGGATTCAGTTCAGCGACCTGGTCAGATTTCAGACTTTACTCCAGACCATTAGCTCTCTGACTGGCCCAACCCTGGTCCAAACAGGGACGCATTTAGGGGGAAAAAATCATATATATTGTTTATTTAAATATGGGTTTTTTTCCTCAGCAAATCTGCATGTGCATGCCTATGCATATACACACACTTATAAGGGAGATATTTATATAAATATAAATATATATTTATGTAAATATAAATGCCCTTGATCCTGCTCTGGAAATTGCAGCTAGTGCAAAATGCGGCAGCACAGGTGTTGACGGCGACGCCTGTGAGGGCTCATATCCACCCAGTGCTGTGTGAACTCCACTGGCTGCCTACTGAATTCCGGATCCATTTCAAGGTGCTGGTGCTTACCTTCAAAGCCCTATATGGCCAGGGGCCAGCATACCTTCGAGACCGTCTCTCCCCATATGAGCCCTAGGGGACACTGAGGTCTATGAATCAATATCTTCTAATAGTCCCTGGCCCCGGGGACGTCTGGCTAGCCTCGGCCAGGGCCAGGGCTTTTTCGGCCCTGGCCCCTACCTGGTGAATGAGCTCCCATATGCGATCAGGGACCTGTGGGATCTACTGCAATTCCGCAGGGTCTGCAAGACGGAGCTCTTCCACCAGGACTTTGGTTGAGGTGGCGGGCATCCCTTTCCTTTCCTGGCTCCCTCCTCCTCAGCAGCCTGGATCTTAACATTGGTACTGCTGAACTGGCACCAGTGGCCGGATCTTAATATCAGTACTGCCGATCAGAATTAGTCATTACACGGTATATGATGGTTTTACTGTTTTAATTGTTACTTTTATTATTGTTTTAATAGTATTGTGTTGAAACTGTTGTGAACCACCCTGAGCCCATCCGCGGGGAAGGCGGTATACATATCAAACAAATAAATAAATGAAACACTTATTTTCAGTGTATGGTTTCCCAGTTGTAAAATGAATACTATAAAACTGTACTTTGAAGGGTGGATCCAGAACAGTGACTGTATGGAACCTATTAAACAATGTTCTAGGAGGCAGTGAAATCCATGCTGCAACCTAGCATCCCTTGTTCCTAATTAGAACTCCTGGCAAAAAAAAAACAGTACCTCATAAAAGGTAAAGGTTTCCCTTGCTCGAAAACTAGTTGAATCCGACTCTAAGGGGCAGTGCTCATCTCCATTTCCAAGCCGAAGAGCCAGTGCTGTTCGAAGACGTTTCTGTGGTCATGTGGTCGGCATGACTAAACGCCAAGGCACGTGTAATGCTGTTACCTTCCCACCGAAGTGGTACCTATTTATCTACTTGCAATTTCTTGCTTTTGAACTGCTATGTTGGCAGGAGCTGGGGCCAGAGACAGGAGCTCACTCCATCACATGGCACTAGGGTCTCGAACTGCCGAACTACAGACCTTCCAGTCTGCAGCTCAGCGTCTTAACTTCTGAGCCACCGCAGCCCACAATACCTCATAAAAAGGTGTAAATATTCTCAATGTATCTCTTTCTTCTTGGCATTATCCTGCCTCTCTTCCTTCATCACCATAAATTACCTTTTCCTTTTTCTGCCATTCCAGGATGAATTTGTAATAACTCTCCCAGTGCATGAATCCACACAGAAACAATGTCATTTTAATAATTTATATGCTGTTTTTCCAATGCATCGTCAGAGCAGCATATAAAATAGATGAAACAAGCAGGAACTTGCAAGGACTTATGGGAGACATCTCATTTCCCCTCCCCCATTATTCCCTCTCCTGAAAATCCCCATTGCTTCTCCCATTTTCCTGCTTCCTTCTCTCCTTGCCAACCTTTGGGATGGGCCTGGTGATCTCCTGGAATCACAACAAATCTCCCAACTAAAGTGATCAGTTCCCCTTAGGGTTGCCAGCTCCAGGTTGGGACATTCCTGGAGATTTGGGGTGGAGCCTTGGGAGAATGAGGTTTGAGCTTGGAAGTGAGCTCAGCAGAGTACTGTACCATAAACCCCACCCTATAAAGCAGCCAATTTCTCCAGGGGAAATGATTTTGCTCATTTGGAGAACAGTTGTAATTCTGGGTGATTTCCAGCACCCAGCTGGAGGTTGGCAATCCTAGCTGCCCTGGAGGAACTGGCTGCTTTGGAGAGTGGAGTCTATGGCATTATACCCTTCTGAGGTCCCTCCCCTCCTCAAACCCCACCCTCCCCAGGCCCCACCCTCAAATATCTAGGAATTTCCTAACCTAGCAACCCTATCTCCTTCTCACCCAACTGCCAACCTTTATCTGCCTCCCTGTCTTAAGCTTTCCCTCTTGCACCAGCAGGCTCTGCCTAGGAAAACTGTGGTCTAGTTGTGTGGTACCTGCCCCATTCTTTCCTTCTCAACCATTCAACCAGCCTCCCATCTTTAGTGATATTTATTATTTATTTACTCCACTTATACCACACTCTTCTCCACAGTGGGGAACAAAGCAGCTTACATTATTCTCCTCTCGTCCTTTTTTATCTGCACAACAACACTGTCAGGTAGGTTAGCCTGAAAGTATGTGACTGGTCCAAAATCACTCAGTGAGATTCCACAGCAAGACCGGTATTCAAACCTGGGTCTTGCAACCCTGCTCCAAAGCTCTAACTGCTACCCCACGCTGGCTTTCATAGGGTGGCTGCTGTTGAACTGTAGTAACCAGCCAGGCGTATTTTTAAAAAAATAAACATTTTATTTAATTTTTTTAACAAATGAGAACAATGTACATTAATACATTGACATTTAAAACCAGAAAATAAACAGGTACAACTTTAAACAAACATACTACTAACAATGTACAACTTTGCTAAAGGTAAGTCTAATAAAAAATGTTGTACTCTTCTTGAACCTATTTGAGTCATGCAAGGTGGTTGGTATCAAGTCACTCAGAGGTTGCTGTGGGACCTGGAGATCTCCCAGAATTACAACTGAACTCCAGACAGAGATCTGTCCCTCTAAAGAAAATGGATGCTTTGGAGGGTGGACTCTATGGCATTATATCTAGCTGAGGCCTCTCAACTCCCCAAACCCTGTGCTACTCAGACTTCACCACAAAATCTTCAGAATTTCCCAACCTGAAGCGGGCAACCCTAGTCGATCCTGGCCCCAAGAAGTCCTTCCTCAAAGGACAAAATCGGCCTGGAAAGGCCCCTGTCCCCTCCCCCTACCTTCTACCTACTGAAACCCAGCCTGGAATATTGTTGTTGCCTAGCAACAGCCACTGAGGGAATCCCTTGGTTAAAGCTACAGGCATTCCTTTTACCATTTTTGCATTTTTTAAACCTCCCAATGCTTTTATTTTTTTTCAGATTTCACATTTTTCTGCAAACCTGGGGCCATTTTCAGGTCTGTAGAATGATCTTGCCTAGTCACATCTCCAGTCACTGGATTTAAGTATGCAAAGATTTCCCGACTTTGCTATTAGAATGTAAGATTATGTATAACTAGCAGTAAAGCCCGTTGTGAAAGCAATACAACGGGATCTAGAAAGAGGCTCTGGGGGAGTGCTCTGGCTTTGGGCAAACAGTGTCAATTTGCTGTGGTGACCTCAGCAGGGTATAATGACAGAGTCCACTGTTTTCTCCAGAGGAACTGATCTCTGCTACCTGAAGAGCAGTTGTAATTGTGAGTGATCTGTAGCCCTCACCTGGAGATTGGCAGCAATTGTTACCCAGGACAAAGTGGCTGGTTTGGAGGGTGTAGTCTATGGCATTCTACCTGTCTGAGGTCCCACCCCTCTGCAAACCCCACCCTCTCCAGGCTCCACCCCTCAAATCCCCAGGAATTTGTCAGCATGTAGTTGGCAACCCCAGCTCCTTCCCAGCTAACCATCAACCTACCATTATCTGCCCCTTTGACTTCAGCTGACTTCTGCCCTGCCTTCTGCAGAGCAGTTGTAATTCTGAGTGCTCTCCAGCCCTCACCTGGAGATTGGCAACAATGGTTCCCTATGTGGGACTGAATGGTTTGGAGGGTGGAGTCTATGGCAGTGTACCTGTCTGTGGTCCCACCCCTCCTCAAACCTCACCCTCTTCAGGCTCCATCCCTCAAATCTCCAGGAATTTCCCATCTGGAGTTGGCAACCCTATCAGGACTGGCCCCAATGTGTTTTCTCCCAAAGGCCAAAGTAGGTGACAGGACCAAGCTTAGTTGCCTACCAACAGGCACTGAGGGGAATGTAGGGTTGCCAGCTCTAAGGAGGGAAATACCTGGAGGTTTGGGGGGTGGATTCTGTAGAGGGCCGGCCGACGGAGGCCTCGGCCTTCTGTCGCCCGCCTTGCCCCCCCAATCTCGGCC